GGGGGGGGGGGGGGGGGGGGGGGGGGGGGGGGGTGGGATGATAACGTTCATGTTCCTATGCACACACAGGCACAGCAACCTCATCATCTTTCTTCCCGTAGAGCAGAGACAGGCACAGCTCTTTCATGATCAGTTACCGGTGGGGTGGGGTGAGTTAATTAGGTTCATGTTCCTATGCCTGCACACGCACAGCAACCTCATCATCTTTCTTGCTGTAGAGCACTTACACGCACTGCTCTTTCATGATCAGTTACAAAACTGCCCCACTCAAAATCTCAAGATTTTTCTCCATCCCTACTCTTGAAATGGCAACTTCATAACCCCGCATAAAAAGGACCGGATAACCCCACATGTGACGCTGCATAAGATGAGGTGTGTGAAAGAACTTCGGTGAAGTTCAGTCAGCTCCACCAAATGCCATACGAAAGCAGCTCTTGAGTGAGTTGATTTGTGTGAGATGAGTTGTGCGATGCGTGGAGTTGTGTGAGATGAGTTGTGTGAGTTGTGAGATGAGTTGTGTGAAAGAACTTGGGTGAAGTTCAGTGAGAGAACACGAAAGCAGCTCCACCAAATGCCACACGAAAGCAGCTCTTGAGTGAGTTGAGTTGTGTGAGATGAGTTGAGTGAGATGAGTTGTGTGAGATGAGTTGTGTGACTTGTGAGATGAGAGGAGTTGTGTGAGTTGTGACATGAGCGGAGTTGTGTGAGACGAGTTCTGTGAGTTGTGAGATGAGTGGAGTTGTGTGAGATGAGTTGTGTGAGTTGTGAGATGAGTGGAGTGTGAGATGAGTTGTGTGAGTTGTGAGATGAGTTGTGTGAAAGAACTTGGGTGAAGTTCAGTGCGAGAACACGAAAGCAGCTCCACCAAATGCCACACGAAAGCAGCTCTTGAGTGAGTTGAGTTGTGTGAGATGAGTTGTGAGAGATGAGTTGTGTCAGATAAGCTGTGTGACTTATGAGATGAGAGGAGTTGTGTGAAATGAGTTGTGTTAGTTGTGAGATGAGCGGAAATACGTGAGATGAGTTGTGTGAGTTGTGAGATGAGTGGAGTAGTGTGAGATGAGTTGTGTGAGTTGTGAGATGAGTTGTGTGAAAGAACTTGGGTGAAGTTCAGTGAGAGAACACGAAGCAGCTCCACCAAATGCCACACGAAAGCAGCTCTTGAGAGAGTTGAGTTGTGTGAGATGAGTTGAGTGAGATGAGTTGTGTGAGATGAGTTGTGTGACTGGTGAGATGAGAGGAGTTGTGTGAGATGAAATGTGTGCATTGTGTGAGACAACTTGAGTGAAGTTGAGAGAGAAAGAAGCAACTCAGGAGGAGAAGGAGGAGAAGGCAAGGAATACAAACATAAAAACAAAAGCCCCACACAGAGATGTGAGGAAAAAAACCATAACTTGATGAGTTGTGTGATGATGTTAAAAAAAGCTAGAGGAAGAATCATGTTACAGAGCTACAATGACAAAATCACACAACAAAAACGTGCACAGACGACCAACCGTCTGACGTGCACAGACGACCCACTTTTGACGTGCACAGACGACCCCCCAACCAGGAAAGAAGAGCCACGACACCTTCAGGGTTTATACCTTGTTGCACTTAATGTAAGAAGAGCCACGACACCTTTAGGGTTTATACCTTGTTGCACTTAATATAAGAAGGGACACGACACCTTCAGGGTTTATACCTTGTTGCACTTAATGTAAGAAGAGCCACGACACCTTTAGGGTTTATACCTTGTTGCACTTAATGTAAGAAGGGACACGACACCTTTAGGGTTTATACCTTGTTGCACTTAATGTAAGAAGAGCCACGACACCTTTAGGGTTTATACCTTGTTGCACTTAATATAAGAAGAGCCACGACACCTTTAGGGTTTATATGTTGTTGCACTTAATGTAAGAAGAGCCACGACACCT